TTAAGAAGTAATTTTTATTTATAATTATATCTTTTTTAAAATAAATATCAAACTATTTCAATTTTTTAAAACGAGCTTATTAATAAGCCTGCTTTAAAAATATGGACGGGGACGGCTATAGGACGGCTATAGGACGGTCCTAAGCTCGGGGACGATCAAAAAAGTGAACTATTCTTGATTTGTAACTAGTACTGATTTTAAACGGTCCAATAATCGTCTTTTATAAAAGAGGGTCAGAGGACCGCTCAAATGACCCCCTACCTGCCTTTAAGGTACATATCATATAGACAAAAAAAAAAAAAAAAAAAAAAAAAAATTAGGTAATAAATAATAAATAATCGACTCAAGAGAGTAAATAAAGCTGACACACTAATAATCCCACAGAGTAACAAAACTAACAAACTGACAGAGTAATACTACGTTACTCCCTCCGATGACCCATAGTCTCTCTCTTTCGCGGCTGAAATTTAAAATTTAAATCGAAATCGAAATCGAAATCGAAATCGAGATCGAGATCGAAATTTAAATCTAGATCCAAATCCAAATCGAAAGGCAATTAAAGCCAATCGATTATATAATGAAGCAAGCAGTTCTATCAGCCAGCTAAGCGACAAGAGCTACCTTAAAGGCAGATAGGGGGTTATTTAAACCGTCAGCTGATCGTCCGATAACCATCTCTTTTAAGGACGATTTTAATAAGTTGGCATAGCTAGTAGATCACTTTAAGCCGATACTTAAGATTGAATAGAATCTGAAAACAAACGATTGAGATTATTTACATCGTAGCTAAAATAAAACCATTTTATTCGATTAAATCGTCTTTATTAAATACTCGTCTTATCGTATAAAAACCGTCTTGGGACCGTTTTCGAGCGTTTCAAGACCGTCCCATGGCCGTGTCCTATGGCCTTCCTTAAGCTTAAAACCGTCCTTAAGAACGTAAATTAGTAAGCAGATAATCGCTCTATTGCTTACTAGTCTACCCTTTACTACTTGGACCACTTATTACACCTTCCCATTATACTATTACACCCCATTTAAATGACCCCCTACCACCCTTTAAGGTAGTGCTTAATGCCTAGTATCTAGTGCTTAACGCCTAACGCCTAACGCCTAACGCCTAACAATAATATCTAAAGAGCTATCTATCTAATAGTCAGTGCACTGACTTTGTGACCTGCGGGCTCTCGGTCACAGTCAGGACAAGCAAGTGTCCCAGGTCAAGCAAGTGTCCCATTTCAATTATTTCAACTTGTATTAGATATAACTTAGCAACGAATATTGCTATGATATTCAAAACTAGATGCATAGATCGGCGTAATCGAGATCTTTAAAAGTCTAACCAAGTATAAAATATTTTTATTAATAATTTAATAATAAATAGAATAAATAATGTTTGATTATCGATTGAATTTGATTGAAAATCAAATATTTTGTATTAAAAAATCTATGTTTTTGAATATTAATCGTCTTTTGAATTGAGCTTTGATATAAAAATTTGATATTTAAAAAATTCTTAATCAAGCGGACTCGTACCATTTAGCTTTTTTATTATAACTTGTATAATTAT